TCGCAGGTCACAATTGTTACATCGGTGCGATATATATCTGTGAGTAGCTGTGTTTGCATGTCATCGCGAGTAGATGAGATATTTTCAACTAATGTAATGAACCACCCTGTATATTATGGTAATTTCTGAATATTGCTACCTATACTCCTCATCCGATATGTCTCACAAAATTCTTGGAACGTCTGCTATACAATGAACTCAATATGAACACCTATATTGAGTTCATTGCCGCTATATTGAATTTATAATGACGTAGACGATGATATCACATCACTAGCTCCGCCCAGTGGCTTCTTTCAACAACAACCATCGAACATCAATTTTCACTACTTTGGTGAAGATTATTTCACAAAATCAACAAAAACACTTGCACCCAATGAAATCAATATAAATTGATCATGAGTATTCACTCATAATTAATGCTCCTAGGAGCCAAGAAACAATTCGAGTATATACTTATCCTGTCATTTTCCGGCAAACTCATTTCATTGGATCATCTATAACTGGAGTCGATTTTAGTTTCTCGAGATTTTCTGCCTCTATAGACGGTACTGCCAAGTCTCAAAGCCGTTTATTGTCCCATTGAAGTCCTAAGATACGTTTTTATCAGTTTTCCTTTCAGATTGCTTCCAGCTTTTGCAGTTGTAACCAGAAACATCAAACGTAGGAAGCATATTTCAGGTTTTGAGCATGATTTTAAAGCAATAATCAGTTCATACAGATCAACAGACACGACATGTCCAATGTATTTAGCAGACAATTATCCAGTTTCCTTTTCCATTTTTCATTTGAGAACGATGAAGAGTTTTTCCGGTGTTAACCCTCAGGTCACAGAGGCTTCGAAATCTTTGTTTATAGTTTGACGAGTATTCAATCCATGGTTTCAGAATTTGATATGTATATCTGAACAGAAATAGTACATTATATATTGGTCGGCGTCAATCAGTGGAATCTGTCATTCCCTGTAATGCCTAGTCATTTCACGTATTGTCGGCAAACAGCGTAACAGCGCAACTTCCATTTCTAGCCGGTACCACAGCCGGTACTCTGTTTGCATATGCAGAAGAAGGGAGACTATTTCTCCGCCTAAATGAACCTTCTTCGTAGAAAGTATATTTTTCAGAAAATTACTTGCGAGAACAGAAGAGACTACTGCTTCTAAACAACCATCCGTCATTACAGGGAATGCCTGAAACTATTAGGCAAACGGTGTACGAAATTTGAAGTTACGCTGTTTGCCGGCAATAAGTGAAATGACTAGGCATTCCAGAGAATAACGGATTTCACTGTTTGACGTCGACATATTGACTTTGATTCTGTGATTCTGATGTTTGCAGACGCGTGTCGTTTTGGGCGCCCGTTTATGTTTAGCGTACAGTACACCACCAATGCCTGAGAGTGACTGAGGCTATATTCCGAATTCAACTGACAGTACTGAATCTGCTGAATTTTCATTCCGAAATCAAAAAAATTGCCTGAAAGTGACAAATACTCGTGAGCAGATATACTATTCATTCCAAATATTTCGACTCAACATTCTGCTGAAATTGCTGACTATCAAAAGGTAGTATGGCTTCAGTGAACTGTCATTATTTTTGAGGGAAAAGGAATGACACATTCATTTTCGTTGTTTTTCAAACATTAAGTCTTGGCTTATCAATAATACAAATAATATCATTTTGATATCAGAAAATGCCTGTTATTTATTTAGCTCAAGCAGGAACATCTGCCAGATCAATGACAACTGACAAATTTCCCCAGGTGAACAACTGCTGCTGATTACTGATGAAAACGTGTTCCGAATTACAGCACTGTATTTTTGATTTTATATTTCGGAACACAGCTTTTCAGCAGAGTCAGTGGATTTACTGACAGTACTGACCAGTTGAATTCGGAATATAGCCGAAAACGTGTTCCGAATTACAGCACTGTATTTTATTTCGGAACACAGCTTTTCAGCAGAGATAGGCTATATTCCGAATTCAGCTGACAGTACTGAATCTGCTTATTTTTCATTCCGAAATCAAAAAATTCACTGAAAGTGACAGATGCTTGTGAGCAGACATACTATTCATTCCAAATATTTCGACCGATTTCGACTCAACATTCTGCTGAAATTGCTGACTATCGACAGGTAGTGTGGCTTCAGTGAACTGTCATTATTTTAGAGGGGAAGGAATGTAACATTTATTTCCGTTGTCTCTCTGCCGTTGTTAATAGTATATTATTCTCAATATCAGAAAATACCTGTTATTGATATGATAAGCACTGAGAGTAATATTGAGCTGTTAGTAGAGGTAACGAAAGAAGAAGCAGAATTGGCTAAATAAATAACTAAATAAACCTGAAATGTCTCCTAAATTGATCATCATTACGTTTTCTATAAATCTTTCAATTCTCAATCTCGTGCATCATTCGAAATTAATAGCAACAAAATGTCCAAGTATTCTTTATCACTCGAGCCTGAATCTGAATCGTCATCGTCAGTAATCATAGAAACTATGGAGGCTACAAGAATCGATTGCTCTTCCATGTTAAATATTGAATATTAATTATCTAGTCCAGATAAACGAGAAACTACAGACTGACAAATTTCACCAGTTGCTGATCAACTGCTGCTGACTACTGATGAAATCCATGAAAACGTGTCCCGAATTACAACACTGTATTTTTGATTTTTTATTTCGGAACACAGATTTTCAGCAGATTCAGTGGATCTACTGACAGTACTGACCAGTTGAATTCGGAATATAGCCTCAGTGGATCTACTGACAGTACTGACCAGTAGAATTCGGAATATAGCCTGAGATGGTTCCAGGCCAAATCTTTACAAGTCCCGGCATTAATCTCGCTCACTATACGGCCTAATAGTTTGGGTAGAATTGTGGATATGTTTTTACGAATCTTTGATTACACTAGTCAGGGCCCCTGTAGTCCGGGGTCCCGTATCATTGATTCGGCTGATATACGACGGTAGCTACGTCCCTGAATAGTGTTGCCGTCTAGACTTATACATTCTAGACTCTTGTCTTGTCTAGAATATCAAGACAAGATCATCAATATGTCTTGTCTAGATTATCTAGGCAAGACAAGACTTTTCATTTTCCATACAAGACTTTTATTCAAAACTCTTGATTATTTTCAAATCTATATTACAAATACGTCGTTTCGCTGGCGCGGCTATGATTTGTTTTGATTGGTTCCCAGAGAGTGGGAGTTTGCATGCACTTGACTGTTTTTACGCAATTTAAGCTAAGCGTCTTATCTAGAGTCTTGAATAATAATCTAGACTTTCGTTATCTAGACAAGACCGCACTTAGCTTATTTAATCAAGACTTACGCGTATACAACTCTTGTCTTGAAATTTCGAGACAAGACAGGAGTAGGTAAACTCTTGTCTTGTCTTGTATAGATGGCAACACTATCCCTGAACCAACTTAATACTGCCAAAGTTAACAGAATTTAGATTTGTGAACTTTTATACTGCCGACTGAAGTTTGAAAACTCTATATAACAACATCTACTTACGGTTTTAAAGATGATAATTCTCCATAGCTCTGTGGAAATATTGATCTTCGACTAGCCGCCTATATAGGTGCAAAATCTTCCTTATAGCTCTTAGTTGGTTTCATCAAGTTTCCACGGTGAAGTTGATCACTCACTTGAGATTCAAATGAACAGCCGAGCAAACTCAAACGAATACACAGTGTATGAGCTTATACACCTACTTATATCTCCACTGGTCTGGCAAATGCAAAATGGCAGTGTTTCGTTGATGAAACCTGTTTATACCTGCTAGTGTTGTTGGCCATTTCAGAAACCCTCTTCCTCGTTCGTTAATTCATTCGTGATTCTTTTAGGATTGTATAATGTTGAAATAATAGGTACTTAAGTTTCCATAGAATAAACATGGATTATTATAATTATAGTTTATTGGTTCATAGGATTAAGTACCTAGCGATATCTACTATAAAATAATACTTAGGTAAGTAAAGGTATCTGTATTGATTATGTGAAAAAATTATTGTGAACTGTATTTTTCACTTAACCTATATCTATATTCAAAGACAGGTAGTCGATTGGGGCAGAGGCAATGAATATGTTTACATGCACATGGGCCCTGATAGCAATTCTACAGTGTGTCCATTTTGTGAGTAATTCTTTGATATCCCGAAATCCATCATCACTAGCGAAAAACTTTTGGAAATTTCTTCTGTTATCGAAGGTTCCCATTTCAAAAATATTTTCAACAATACTGGGTGTGTTATAAAAGCGGGACGACTCGGAGAGGAGTATTTTTTTAGATAGAACACCCAGTATTTTTCATACGAAATTTATTCCGCCAAGCTTCAGCTCTACATCGCTGTATGAAAAATTTGATTTGGTTGCGGCGTTGCCAAGTTATAATTGATACCCGTTTTACTACTATTGAATTGGGTATGGTATATTCATTTATTCAAATTTTGAAAATATTCTTGGCATACAGTTGTAGCAAGGTCTCACGTACACCAATCCAGTATTTTGCGAGATGATCCTTTACAGGGTGCTGAAATTTGTATTTTGAATATTGTAAGATTCAGACGACGTTCATCAGAATTTTTCAAATAGAACACCCTTTATTTTTCATCACAGATTTATCTCGATATCATTCGCCTTTTAATCTCTGAAAAAAAAAATCAAAATCGGTTGCGACGTTCTCAAGTTATGAGAAATTTCCTTATGTTTATCACTCAGGACTACTTTATATGGCATGGTTTCTTTATTTGAATATAAACAATGGAGATTTGGATTGCGAGAATAAGGATATTTTTTTCAAATTTGGACCACTTTTATTCTCGTTATTCCCACATTCCAACTCAAACCTACTCGTTAATACGAGGTCGACGGAAAATATCTTATTAGTGCTATTTCGTAGGTTGATTCAAAGTAGTAGTATATAAAAGTTATTCTCGAATTACTTCCAAAGAAATATTAATTAAAGTTCATATAAATATATTATGTCATGAAATTTCATTATATTCAATCTCGATTTTCATTTCTTCTTTCAGAACAATATCGTCGATAGGACCTGCCATTGGCTCAACAGAATGACAAATACTCATTTTGTTTTCTTCCTTACTAACCACGTGTTCCACCCCACTGTCTAATGGAAGTTTTTCATCACATTCGGATTTCATCTCATATTTGTTCTCGATAATATTGAAATTGCAATCTTCTTCGACTAACAGGCCGATATCAGAAAATTCTTGTTCCATATCTACATCTTCATTATCTGATCCTCTTTCAGGTTCTCCTTTAATGTGCAGTCTACAGTGCTCGCTTACATCAAGTTTGCTTTGGAATTTTTCATGGCATGTAGCACATTCGAAATATTCATCAAACTCTTCAACATCTGGAGAAATTTCGTTAGTGTTGATGTTACGCTTCTCCTCAATATGAAGAGCCATATGTTTCCGTAACGTTTGCTGCCAAGTATATCGCTTCGGGCAAAATTCACATCTGAATGATTTTTTTTCAATGTGCACTTTTCTGTGATTTTTCAAATTCCGTTCGTTCCGGAAAATTCTACCACAAACATCGCATTTGCATGTTATTTTACCAGTGTGCTTAATAATATGAACTTTCAATGCACCTTTAGTTCGGAATTTTTGGCTGCAAATATCGCATTGAAATGGCTGGTCATCATAGTGCAAAACGTTATGGGTGGTCAGCTTACCTTTGGAACGAAATCTTTGGTGACAAATGTCACACTCGAACGGTTTCTTGCCGGTGTGAACTGAAATATGGTTCTTCAAATTACTTTTCAGCCGAAATTTCCTTTTGCAAATATCGCACTCGAATGGTTCACCGGCCCCGTGACTTTCCCCATGGACTTTCAAATCCCATTGGGTCTGGAAAACCTCATCGCAAAAATCGCATTTCGATGGTTTCCTATCAATGTGCAACATGATGTGCATTTTCAAGCTACTTTTAGTCTTGAACTTCATGCCGCACATATAGCATTGAAAGAGCTTCTCAGCAGAATGCAGCATAATATGGGTGGTTAAATTACTTTTGCTCTGGAATCTTCTGTGACACATGTCACACTCGAATGCTTTTATGCTGGTGTGCACTAAACTATGTTTCAGCATAAAACTCTTCTGCCCGAAACTTTTGTTGCAAATGCCGCATTCATATGGTTTATTGGCCACGTGCAATGTACTGTGATTCTTCAAATTTCTTTTGTCCCGAAAAGTTCTATCACAATGATCGCACTTGAATAGTTTTTCATCAGTATCCTGTTTAATATGTGATTTCAAGGAATCGCTTGATTGGGGTTGTTCGATGCAAACATCAGAGTAATGATCGATATGACATGTTGAATTACCCTTTGACTGGAACTTCACATGGCAAATATCACACTGGTACGGTTTTTGGCCTGTGTGCACTAGACTATGTTTCGCCAAATTTCCTTTCAGCCTAAATTTTTGAAGACAAAGACCGCATTCAAACGGCTTGTCAGACTTGTGCAGTTTGAGATGGGTTCTCAAATACCGTTTTTTCCGATAGGTTTTACTACAGATACCGCATTCGAATGGTTTACCAGGCTTGTGAACCAGAATATGGAGTCTCAAATAGCGTATGTTCCCAAAGGTTTTATTGCAAATATCGCATTCGACCATCAGATCCGGATTGTGTACTGCACTATGAACTGTCAGATACCGTTTGTTCCTGAAGGATTTATTACAAACATCGCATTTGAACGGTTTGTCTGGGCTGTGCACTGTTCTGTGGTTATACAAATTCCGTTTGTCCCGGAAGGTTTTTCCACAAATATTGCATTCACCAGGTATTTTCGGCTTGTGAAGTGCACTATGAACTGACAAATACCGTTTGTTCCTAAAGGGTTTATCACAAATTTTGCATTTGAAGGGATTTTCAGCGGAATTCATCATTGTGTGGTTATCGAAATTACTTTTGTTCTTCGATTTTCTGTTGACAGTATTTCCATCGCAGGGTTGCTCTGCCATAGTGTTCACTAGGTCATAGTATATTTCTTCAAATAACTCCTGACCCCAAATATTGTGTGAGTATGATTCTATTTTATCAGTGTGCACATTGTGTGATTTGTGATTAACATTCAATCACTGATCGTATCAGAATGGTCCCTTGAGGTATTTTATACTTAGACGCTCCGATAATTTGAATTGGTGGAAATAATAGATCAGCATCAACCAGGATGATCACCACTTCACCTGTAAATGCATAAACAAATAATTTTTTACTCTAACTCAAAACGGATATATTGAAAAAAGCTAGTCCAGTTCTTTAATGGTTTCATCATCATCATGATCATCATCATAAAACAGTATATTTCACAATTATCCTGATGGCTTGTATTCCAAACGACCGAAACATTTGTGAAACGTGTTGTAGTTGGCCCTGGTTGTAGACCATACTTCCTCTATAACGATAATAGAAAAATACAAAGGAACACATTAATAAAACAGTTGAAGTTTGAAATGAGTAATTCAAGGTGATCGAAACATCATGGCATCGAACGTGATCCATAGATGAGAAAGATTAATTTAATCAAACAAATCAATTTTCTTGAAATGAAATTGCTTCGTACAAGAATTTTTAATTGATGAACCATTAACATGAATTTGGTCGACATGAACAGTATATTTCTTCATTCAAGAAAACCGCGACATTACACGGTGAGTCAATGGTGTGTTCTTCTATATTAGCCAAACCGTCAGATATATAAAAACTAGCTTTAATGTTTATAAGACACCCTGTATATTATTACATGTTCAGATTCTCCCTCAAGAGCTGATTTCATCAATGTATCGCACTTGAGGACCAGCTTAAATGTTTATAGAGATATATAGGGTGTTCAAGATCTGTATTTTTCAACTTTTTTGTGTTAAAACTATTCATTATTGGCCGAAACGGCTTACATGTCCCTATCTCAACTTTTGATTCACCATCTACTGACATTTAATTGAAACAAATACAGGGTGGTTCAAAATTCTAGATTTCCGAACACCCTGTATCTATTCCAATTTAATTTCAGTAGATAGTAACTCAAACGTTGAGATGGGGACATGTGAGCTCTTTTGACTAATAATGAATAATTCTGACACAAAAAAATTCCAAATTTGAAAATTTTCGATTCTGAACACTTTATATCTCTGCAATCATTTTCGCTAGACCCCAAGTGTGATGCATTGATGAAATCAGCTTTCCAGGAGCTATATATATCATGTTCAGATTTTAGTAGTGAATACCATGTTCTGTCTATATATATATAGACATATAGAATATATATATAGACAGAACATGGTATTCACTACTAAAATCTGAACATGAAAATGGTAAATTCAAGATTAATTAATGAAACCATCCTGTAACTCCTTTGATTGCCAACGTCACCAATTGTCATTGAAAACTGAAAAGCTTCAAGACATATTATACGACTTCGCAATTGAAAAAATCTCTTCATGTTGAAAACGGGAGCAGAATCGGTCCCGAAACGTCCAAAGATAAGTGAAAATTTGATATTTTTCTATATACCTTTATTTCTCTTCTCCAAAGATTTTTCAATACAAATTGTCACTGACAAGCTAGTGAATTTTTCTTTTAGGCTCTCTGATAGGAAAATTCTTTAAACGCAGTGACATTTTGGGGCAAATCATCTGATTTGTCCTTACTACACGTATATTGAAATAATATTCATATTTTTATTTTTTAGAAACGAGGAGAGAAAATCCCAAAAAATTTGAAATAATGAATGTACCACCTCCTCGATTAACCTACAGACAGTATTTATTGATTTTCCTCATTTTTTTAATTGATCATAACTTATGAACCACCCTATACATTTTTATGATATTTGGTTCATATGTTCCTTGTTCACGGTGGCAACGATTGACATAATAAAAAAAATTCTCTCCTCAGGACCGGCCTTGAAAAAATTAATCAGTATGTTTCTATGTTTCGAGTTGAAACAAAACCCTGTACATCAAAATTTCAAAATTTCATTCACAAATTTGGAAAGGGCAGTAAAAAATAAGTGAGACTGAATCTATTTTGTGTTTCCGCATACAACTTTTTCAACCTATTAACATGTGTCAAATCTAGATGTTTCGATAATGAGGAGGCACAAAATTAAAAGAATAATAATTTGTCTACTCCAAATGCTACTTTTCCATTTTTCAATCAATTGAATCATTTACTATTTCTTATTCTCCTAATTTTTGTGTCCCAACATAATTGAAAAACTAGAGGATATGTCCGTATTTGGGACAAACCGAGGGACAAACTATTATTATCAACGACAACTTCAAATACCCTGTATGTGTATGAAAATTATCATTGCACTATATTTGAAACAACAATGATGAAAGTTTCTTTTTAAAAACAAATCTACATTCTAAAGGTAAAGACATAACAGAAAATCAAAAGAACTAGAATTTTCTTCATCCGCGTCTAATTATTTTTTTAGCTAGAGCATGTTTTTTCATCTCTTGGGGCACACGAAAAAAAAACCTATAATGTTCGCAGAACATCGTGCGTTCTCTAGTAGGATAGGGAGAGGAGTTAGGTATTGGACTTTCTTGGAACTTTTGGATATTATAAAGGGAAATTTGCCGCTCTATACAATAACGAGTTTTGGTAAAGATTTGCTCGACAGTGTGACTCACTTCAACATGGAACCACCCCTGTATCTTACGTAATCGTTGGGTAAGGATCCTGAAATTTGCTGGAGCGAGAGATATACCAAAAATGCACTCTATGACCAAGTGGGGTCATCTTCAGTGATATACACTGCTCGCCAACAGCCATGAAACCACCCCAATTTCCGGAAAATGATATTAGGAGTCAAAATAGGTTGAAAATCACTTCAGATTTGGAATCAGGATGCCCAATTTACTAACTATTCAAATTTTTCCTGGAAAATTTTCAGTTCGGAAAAATGAAATTTTGTCGCATTTTTTATGGAAGCACCCCCCTATCTCACGTAATTATTGAGGTAGGGTTCTGAAATTTGCCGGAGGAAGAGAAAGTCCAAAGATAAAGTCAATTACGTGAGATACGGGGGTGCTTCCATAAAAAATGCGACAAAATTTCATTTTTCCGAACTGAAAATTTTCCAGGAAAAATTTGAATAGTTAGTAAATTGGGCGTCCTGATTCCAAATCTGAAGTGATTTTCGACCTATTTTGACTCCTAATATCATTTTCCGGAAATTGGGGTAGTTTCATCGCTGTTGGCGAGCAGTGTATATCATTGAAGATGACCCCACTTGGTCATAAAGTGCATTTTTGGTTCTCTCGCTCCAGCAAATTTCAGGATCCTTACCCAACAATTACGTAAGATACAGGGGTGGTTCCATTTTAAATGGGTCACACTGTATATCTCAAGGTTGACGACGAAGGGATGTGCTGACTGTACTTGTCAAGGTCGTCTGACTGGAATTACTAGTGATGGAATGATAGAGATTTCTGATGAACATTTCCCGTGGAAGTATCCATAGAAAACTGGTGTTCCAATGATGTCAGAGAATGGGCGTGTACACCTTAGTAGAACTTTTAACTCAAACCATGTTTATAATGATCCTTTTATACATAAATAATGATTGACGACATCATTCGATCGAAAAATTAACTGGAATGTTTTATTTTTGGACATAAATGATAGTACCTTCTGAAAACGGAGACCCTCTCATGACGTAGAAACCCCATCTCGCCATATATATATATAAACCATATATATCTACTACTGATATATGAATCATAGCTCTCCTCAAAGCGGGACCCATTTCTGTCTCTATAGGTAATGAAATCGACCAATAGGCGTTGATACCGACGTAGGGAAAAAATAATAGGAAATTTGTCAAACCAATATGGCTGTTTCCATCCTTCACTTTTCGTTCTTATAGATTCAAAGAGTACCTCTCATTTTGGTCCCATTTTTGTTGAGATATCGTATAGGCGATGCGCCATATATAGAAATAGTAGATATATGGTTGAAACTGACACTCTCCTGACACTTATTACTGTTGCCATATCATCCAAACAAAATATCCGAGAAATCGAAATCGATATTGAAAAATCTTTTGATATCCACTACCACTACTGCAGAAAAATATATTCGAGTTGTCGATTGTAGGTTGAATCATTGGAGTATAAACAATCTCTAGACAACGAAATGTCTCAATCTCAAAACCATTTGCACCATTACAATTTCACAATAATCCAATATATTTCATAAACATAGCAACATTGCTTTGTTGACCCGTTTCACATGGAGCTGCAAAAAGTCAATCTAGGTTAGAATTGATTTGTCAGAAATCATGTATCATTCATCTCTGTCTGGAATAGTCTTGTTTCAGTATTAGGGTTTTGACGTCACATCATCGCCTCGTTTTCAGAGGTCCGGAAAATCGGGGATTTCAATAATTTTTTATAAAACGTAGGGAGCTCACAGCAAGAAACGGTTTGCGGTGGTGAGCTAGTTTGGGTGAGTTCTATCGAATTATGAAATAAAAATTTTTTGTGATATAAGCCCATTAGTGAGTGTGGATCAGCCATAAGGCGATTGGCTCTTCTCTAGATGGAATCATTACATTTCATTGCCTGAGGAAATTTTCCAACAACATATAATCTCCAGAAGTTCAAAAAAATTCCAATACCTACTTCCTATCCCTATCCTCCCTAGGAATCCCCTTTCGTGCGCTCTACCAAGCGATAAGCAGTCCGTTCGTACTTTAGGTTTGATTTGTCCCAAATTGTTGTAATAATTGTCAAGTCGGCTGATGTCAGAGTACAATTTTGACGTTAGTTGATGACTCTAGAGTTTGTACATGTGTTTCGTGTCGTCGAGAAATGAGCACGCTGTAGTTATAAAAATAACTAGACACGGATAAAGAATATTCAAGTAATTTGATTTTCTGTTATGTTCAACCTATAAAATGTAGATTTGTTTCAACGTTATTTTTAATTAAAATGAAGTCATGCTTTTT